GTGTCAGTCCATCTCCTGGAGGGCCTTCCTCTTGGGCACTGTCCCTCCACTTTACCAAGCATGGCGTCCTTCTCCAAGGACTGGACTCTCCTGTCCAAAGTGTGTAAGACAAACGTTTTGCCATCCTTGCCTTTAAAGAGCACTCTGGCTGTACTTCTTCCACGACTTCTTCCTTCATAACTAACAATTTTAACACTCAGGGACTTCTTATCTTACACAAAAACATTCAAGGGCTTAACCTGCATTCTATTAGGGAAAAAATTATCCACCATAAAAACAAAAAATAATTACGTCATGGAAGGGATAAGCTATACAAAAGACTGATACATATATAACATTTCTATCTGTTTATAATGTGAAGTTTGAGGGGGACGTGTGTAACTTTCAGAGGAAATCTATTTTCAGCCTGTGCTAAGAGCATCATGGGGACTGGGAACCAGGCTGTGGGATGAGCAGCAGGATGGGGCTCTGGACACCCGGAGCGGCAGATGGGACAACCGAGTGGCATCACTTAGCAACTTCACCCTCTCTTCTCCTTTGCCATTTCTGTCCAGCCGCCTTGGTCTCCTGGGCCAGGTTTCTGTACCTCATTCGTTTAGCGTGCCTCTGGCACTGTGCTGTGGGAAACAGCCACGAACAGTACCTTCGGTCGCTTTCCCAGCCTTCGCTATTTCCACACCTTCACAAACGTCAGTCCAGGAATGCAGACTGAGGAGCAGCGGGTGACAGTGCTTGGACAGCGGCCTGTCCTGCCAAGTTTTCTTGCTAACTGCCAAATGGGAATCAAGATTGTTGGGAGAGGCCCCTGCCTGCCCCTGACATTGGTCCAGCTGGGGCAGAATTCGTTGGTTTAGAAGCCAGACTTTTACAGAAATAGCTTAGTTTTCATGTGAGGTTCTAACGTTTAAACAGGTTCAGAAATTCAAATGCTCATCTTTTAGGAGGCGAAGGGAAGAAGAAGTAAAAACAAATACTTTTCAGAAAGAAAAAAATTTTATAAATACCAGAAGCCACTCAGAATGCATTATTCTTTCTCTTTTCTGATTCTTTTATTTTTTCTTTTCTGATTCTTTTCCTGGTGGAAAATATTCCTTCAAAGCAGCAGTGTACTGTCAAAGTCACAGCGACCGACCCTGCAGGACAGAGTAGAAGTGTCGCATAGGGTTCCCGAGGCTGTCCGTCTTTAGGGGAGCAAATGTCCTTCTCTTTCTCCTTGGCGCAGCTGGCTGGTGGGTTTAGACCACCCATCTTGTGTTGAGGAGCCCGACCGCGGATAGGTTACATTGGCTACACTAGATCAACAGTGATGAATCTGCCAAAGCCAGCCTGGGAGGAGCATGTAAGTGGTAGTGAGAAAAACGAATAAACAAACCCCACAGCCATCAAGTTGGACTCATAATGACCTTATAGGATAGAGTGTTCCGTAGTGTCTGTGAGGCTGTAAATCTGTACAGGAGCCAACTGCACAATGGCTTCAAGGCACTGACCTTGCAGCGAACAGCCCAATGGGTAACCAGTGAGTCATTTTTGTCACTAGCAGCCGTGCCAGGGAGAGTAGGACTGCCCCTGTGGGTTTCTGTGACTGAGCCTTAAACAGGAGTAGAAAGCCTCATCTTTCTCCTATGGAGCAGCTTGTGGTTCCTAGCGGCTGAGCTTGGGGTTAGCAACTCAGCGTATAGCTCCTTCAGGAGAAGCAGTAGGTCAGCCTAAATCCTAATGACATTTCTGTAGCCTTTCCCATTTCCTGTAGCTTCTCTCTCCCAATGACCAACTGTGATTTCCTTGTGATGCATGCATATAGGCGCTGCTGCCCCCAACAATTTAGCCTATGGGATTAACTCAATTCCGAGTCTCTTATGAACAAGAGCCTATGATTCCCCCAACTTGCTCCTCTAGCTTTCTCTCGTTTCATTGTTCATGAAGATCTAGCTAGTGCACTGTACAGTTAAATTCAAATTCAGGTCCAGCTGGCTGCCAAACCACGCTCTCTGCACTTCTGTTCACTCCCTCTGAGCATAAGCTGTTTGCTAGGAAGTGACTCCTGCCCAAATGAAGCCGTTCACTTGCCATCTGACTAGCACTCATCCTTCTAGAACTTTCTCTTTTCTGGGAAACCTTCAGTAAAAGAAAAGAACTGTTAACCGGAGAACGTTTAAATTAAAACAAAATAACCTGATATTTGCTTTGTCGATTCTAAAAGGAACATCCCTTCCTCGTCAACGCCCTTTAAGTGCTTTTGTTCAACTGGGGCGTCTCTGTCTTCATTCCCCTTTAGCCTCCTGAATTTTATCCAGGCTTTAGATTCCAAGTCAGTTTTCGTGTAGCCTTTAGATTTCAGTTAAACTTTATTTTGTTGACTCAGTCTTAATAAGGAGTTATTTTTAAATATTAAAAGTGGCAGAGAGCTGGGTTTAATGATGATAGAAATGCATCTATTCTAAGAAGTTACATTAAAAATGTGTCTATTTGACCTGTGCTTCCATTCCAGGAATAGAACCAGAATATAGGCACAGTGTTGGGACAAGCTATACGAGCTTCTTTTTTATTGGAGAGAAGGATGATTTTTTAATAAGATAATATTTGGCACAAAGCAAAATAATATTTGGCTATGTATATAGTCTTATGAACAAAATAATAAAATCAACAACCTGTGAATTCACTTAGATCTGATTACTTGACCTAAGAAATAGAAATGGCAAGTGTTTTTACGGCTCCTGTGTGTGCTTTCCTCTGATCAAGATCCCCAGCCCCTCTCCCAGAAATAACCCCTTTTGTGAAGTATGTTTGTCCCTCCACCTCCATCCCCTTGGTTGCTTATTGGCTTCATCTTACATTATTACTCTTGGTGTTTGCTAACACATCACCTTTACCTTCCGTTTGAGAATCCTCAAACTAAAATGCAGCCTATTATTTCACAAGCTACTGTGCATAAATGAGAGGGCATAGTTGCTTTTGGTGCTTATGTAACTAAATGCTGTGATAAAATCTGGACCCTGGCAATGCAGGACTGTTTACAAAGTCTTGGGAAAATCAGCCCGTTCATTTTACCGAATAAAAGAAAAAAACTTGATGGTAATATTTTTAGGTTCTGTATCATATAACAGGTACTTTCTCTATATTGCTTAGTCTTCTAGCATTACTACTGTGCCTCCCCCATACATTGGTCAATTAGAAAAAAAAACTCACCTGTGAATGTTGCTGTCTGACCTCCCTAGTTATATTTAATCATTTAGATTTACATAAAAATTTACATTTATTTAAAATTTATTGAATATACTGAAACAATAAAATATATTAAAATCAAATTGCTTTTGAGGGGTTCATTTCTATATGAAGTTAAAATGTCAGCAGACCATAGGGTCATCATTCTACATATGTTGTGCCAAGTCTCTTTACATAGCATTAAAGAACACGCGTCTGGACCCCTGTGATGTTTTATATGTGTATGAATGATTTACATCTATTTTTAAAATAAAATAACATGTTATTTACTGCTATAACAACCCAAAATTACCATTGTTGTATATAATGCAGTTTGGATCAAAGGTCAATTATCCAAGGAGTGTGTTTTAATGGAGAAGACTTTGAAGGAAAATATTTCCTTGAATTTGAAGGTTATTTAAATACCACCAGGTGAAGATCTAGTTTTTATCCATTTAAATATGTTCTAGTTATAGAAATAATGCTTTCTACTGTTGCATTAATAATAAGTGGCGAAATTCCATTGGAGCTGAAAGTGAAGAACTTTCACTCTTCTTGGCCAAGTTTGGATGAAGAAAGAAGCCTCGTGAAGATGGAGAAACTTACTGTCTTGGTGATCTAGTGCTGCTACCATCCAAGCCCACAAGTGATGGCCTCTCGGCAGACACACATTGATTCTCTCATAGGGGAAGTTTGAATTCAGGGTGCCCACTCTAGAGGAAGGCTTTCTCTGCCAGCTCTGGGTGAAGGTTCTCCTGATCAATTTCTCATGGATCTAGAGGTTTCTTAGCAGAAACCCAAGGTCCTAAGGATGTGTCATCTCCTGGCTCTTTCTTGGCAGTAGGACGTCCCCTTTCTATCTGCTCACTTCTCCTTTCATCGCAGGATGAACATGATGATGCAGGCCACACCTCAGGGAAACTCCTTACATTGACCAAATCAAGACTGTGACTTGAGTAAGGGTGTGGGGCATCCCACCCTAATTCCCTCACTACTGATTGGCTGATCACCTCAGATTACATCATAGGGATCGTTACATCATTACAGAACTACCAAACCACTGAGACTCATGGCCCAGCCCAGTTGATACTTGGGCATAATTCAATCTATCATAGTTGTCTGACAATTATATTAAATCTTGTTAATAATATGCTCTGTTATTCTGTAAATCTTGGTATAGGGGGGAGCCAGAGCCAGGACATAGCAAAGTCATTGCCAGACAACCAGTTAGACTTGATCATTATTATTAGCAGGAACTGTCTAACACTGTATGTACAGCCAACTAGGCTTCAGTGCAGGATGGGAAATAGATCAAGTAAAGATGTTTGATTGTGTGCTGAAATATGAGTAAGATCAGCATAATTAAGATCCTTGAGTGAACATTTTTATTGTAAGTGTGCAAATCTTAACAGTTTGGTGGCATGAGAGATGCAGGAATGTTCAGAAACTAGAGCTATCCCAGGATTATGTCATGCACTTTACCAGAGTCAGGACTGTATTGGTCTCATAGCCTTTGAAATGTATCTCTTTTTCCTGATGTCCCAGGCTAAGTCCTTGTGTTCTCAGCCTTCCTTAGTGTGCAAGTTCATTCAAAGCATATGTGAACTGCTCAATTTCACTCACATGTAGTACCAGACCAGGCTTTGACCAAAACTATTTGCTGCCAAGGTAATTTGTCTAACATTCTTATTTTTAAAATCTTGACTAAATAATTTCTATGCTTTTGATTGCATGTAATCATCACAATACTATCTGGAGAAAAAAATTGAGTACTTTTTAAATCTTACTGCTTTTGTTAGGATGGACGTTTGAAACCAGGCGATCAGCTTATCTCCATAAACCAGGAGTCCCTGATTGGTGTGTCATTTGAAGAAGCAAAAAGCATACTGACCAGAGCCGAGTTGAGGTAACGCTCCTCTCTGTAAGGGAGCACGAGTCACGTGGCATGTCTCCCTCAAAGCAGGGAGTTTAATGTCTAAAGTACTTTAGACTCTAAAGGAAATATTTTTTCCTGATCGTATTGGAAGCACTATTCTGAAATTCATTTGTACCATATCAATAACTTACCTATAAATGTGATTGCTTTTTAATGACAGATCGGAATCTGCTTGGGAGATAGCATTCATAAGACAGAAATCTGATGGTGGCTATCCAGAAAGTCCATCACGTGTACCCACTTTACAATCTTCAGGAGAAGGGGAGGCTCAGACCTCCACTTTTAGTCTTCTTTCTTCTCCCTCCGAAGTACTGACTCCCAAGGCTTCATCGATTCCCAAAACTAAAGAGGCCATTTTACCTTTGAAGACAAGTCAGGTAAGCTGGAATGTGTTGTTCATTGAGGCAGTTCATAAATACTCTGCATGATCTTACGGTTTTGAACTATAGATAGAATTATAATTTCCCTAATACAATTTGCTGAGGAATCAGTATTTTTTGGTAAAAATATTATAGATAATTTTTTTTTTTATGCTGAGATGTCAATAACCAGTTTTGCAAAGTCAAAATATCTTGTATACCAAAAATCACGATCAGCTAGAAAATATCCACTTGATACCATGGGGAGACCTGGATCCCACTCAGAACTGTGTCAAGGACGCCCTAGTCCCTCCTCCAGTTCCATGTATTTTCATTTCTGTTTTCGACACCTTCCTTTGTGTCCCCAGGGTCTGGACCACGACATGAGGCCGCCCTGCTCCCCCAGCCGTGGTTGCCGTTGTTTCCTCACTTGGGTACACTGGAATACAGTGCACCCCGTTAGAAGTGTACAAAGGGGGGATTTTTTTAGATGAAAATGTATAGAATTAATTGCTAACTGCTACTATGCCTAACAAAAGAAGAATTACAAAATAGGCATACATTCATTAAATCTGTGTTATTAGTTAAATTTTTTTTAAAGTAAGCAAACCAAAACCTCAGGCTTTCCATTGTGGTCAGAGATGGAATATAACAGTTTCTATCGAGTCCTGATCCTTTGTCTTTCACAGGTATATGTTTTGTGGCCTTTTATTTATTTTTAATTTTTTTGTTTGTTCCTGGTCTTAGATTGAGTTGTCTTTAGAGCTGGTAGAGCCCAAAGCAGTGTTTGCCTTTAATGCAATTGCTGTGGTCGAAGGTCACTATAACAACATTTTAGAGGTTCCTTTTTTGGGGAATTTGGCTTTATCTTTTACGCCAGCTTTTTATGTTACCATGACCTGCCAGTCAGGTCTTTGACCTACTTTTGAGGATGACATATTGTGTCTCTTGTTTTCTTTCATAGATAAAAACCGGTTACAAGAAAACAGAACAGATTCCAATTACTTCATCAGACAACAGCTCGACAAAGATGTCTAATACAGGTAAATGCCCATTTAATTCCTTTTTCTTTCTTTTTTCCCCCCAATTACTCTCACAATGAGAAGTACATAATGCAACTTAATAGACTTTAAATAAGGGTGCATTTTCCCTCTTTGCCCTCAGTGAATAAAAGAACAAAATGCATGTATTACCCAGTGGTCCCTGCTTAGATTATGACTTTTATTGCAAATTTCCCTGAACAGAGAGTTGAAATTTTAAGAGCTGCATTACCATAGCAGTGTATATCAGGCTGTAATAATTCCCTGAATTGTTGAAACCAAATAATGAAAACTCTGCTGTAAGACAAGATTAAGGTACTGTCCTTTCAGTGAAGTATTGATGAAGCTTATTAAATACATCTTTTAAAGAACATAGTATAGAGAGGCACATAGTTGAAGAAAAGAAATATATGTATAGCTATAAATTAGAAGTCTGCATTGTGAATTCAGCATGACTGATCTTAATGATCAAAAAATGGTTTATTGACATTTTAAAACAATAAAGGAGTAATTGAATAAATTACTCATAAAAGAGGATGTTTATCAAGCTTTAAAGTCTTCATTGGCCCAAATATCAAGGGAAAAAAAAATTTGAGAATTATTTCCAAAGCTACATATTTTAACAAAAGTCACTATAGTTATGTAAAGGAAAAGCTAATTACATGTGTTCAGATTATAATGCAAATTGTTACCATGTTTTTTTTCATTTTCAAAAGTACTAGCTAGATCAAAATTGCAAAGTAAAAAAGAACATGATTATTTATGTTTCTACCAAACAACAGAAATTCACAGTGGATTCTATAGTATTTTCTTCTGATTGGGGCAGTATCTACCAGTAGCTTAGTAAATTATATGTCATTTTACTTTAGTGGGATGTTGTGTTTGTTTTTTTTTAGTGGGATGTTTTGACTTCCAAACTTTACTAGCATAATTCTCCTTACATAATTAATCACCTGCCTCTTTATGTAGTGCTTGTTAGCTTAAATTGGGAGCTGAGAAGACAAGCTATATTAAAGAGACAAATGGTGATGAGGCGGTAGAGCTGCTTTGATCTTAGTGGCTAGGTGGCATAAACAAAGGACCTTTGTCTCCCGATTATACTGTAACATATTAATGTGTTTTTAATTTAATTAAAGAGTAAGTTAATTTTTCTGTACCTCTTTTGGTCTGTTCGGACTCCTGGTGGTGCTGTTGATTAAGCCTTGAACCGCTAAGCACCAGATTGTCGGTTCTAGATAAGGCTTTCTGTTCCCATAAATATTCACAGCCTTGGAAACTCTAAAGAGTATTTTGGTTTTAGCCACTTATTCAATAAACAGTGATTGACATGTTAAGGAGGGGCCAGTCCCTGGCGAGGACATCATGGTTGGTCAAGTAAAGGGTTATAAAAAAAGAGAACTGCCCTTGACCAGACCAGTGGTCTCAAACACAGCAATGGTGAAGATGGGGCAGGGCTAGGCAGCCTTTCAGAAACTAACTTGATGGTATCTAATCAACAACAACACAGTAGACATTATGAAGGAATTAGAGTTCTTGTAAGATACGTAGACACCTTATTATGGAAGACAAGTTTGGGTTAAAAAAGCCTTCATTTTTCATATTAGAAAATAATTTTTTTTTTTTTTTAGGGGGATATCTCTCCCTGTTTTGTGTGTAGATGAGGGGTTTTCAGAAAGGTCTCAGAAAAACAAATCCCATTATCTCTTGAATCTATTGCCAGGAACTTTTTGAAGCCCCTTTCTTTTTTCTTTTTTTAATCATTTTATTAGGGGCTCATACAATTCTTATCATAATCCATACATACATTAATTGTATAAAGCACATTTGTACATTTGTTACCCTCATCATTCTCAAAACATTTGCTCTCCACGTAAGCCCCTGGCATCAGCTCCTCATATTTCCCCCTCCCTCCTCCCTCATGAACCCTTGATAATTTATCAATTATTTTGTCATCTCTTACACTGTCCGAGGTCTCCTTTCACCCACTTTTCTGTTTCCGTCCCCCAGGTTATATGTAGATGCTTGTAATCAGTTCCCCCTCTCTACTCCACCTCCCGGTATTGCCACTCTCACTACTGGTCCTGAAGGAATCATCCATCCTGGATTCCCTGTGTTTCCAGTTCCTATCTGTACCAGTGTACATGAAGCCCCTTTCATATATATTTATTTAATTTTAAAAGTGTGTGTTTACTTCATCAATTAAGTACTATTTGCAGTACTGTATGCAAAACTGGATCAGGGTGTGGATGGTTTTAGATCTCTAAGGAGCATAATGTTTTAGGGGAATAACACATTGATACAAATAAGTGCAAGGCATACAAGGTCGGCTAAGTAAAGAACTAGTAAGTGGTGTGAGTGTGGCATAGAGAAGGTACAGTAATTAACTACCAGCTTCTGAATGCAAACTTTGGAGGCTCAAATCACTGCTCCCTATTTGTTAGCTATGTAACCTTGAGGTGGTTGCCTCATAGGGTTGTTGAATTAAACAAGTTCATGCATGTCTGGCACTTAGCATTGTAACTGGTACTTAGTCTATGCTGAGTAAATCTTGCTGTAAATATTATTAGTATTACAAAACCTACAGAATAGATTACAACTCTTACAGTGCTCCAAGGTATGTGTTTAGAGCAGAAGAGAAAATTCCCAAGCCTGACTCATTTCTCTGCCCTCCTTTGCACCGTGAAACAAATACAGCTAGGCATTGCTTAACATGCAGGATATGTCCTGTGAAGCAGGCTATTCCCAATGCCACCATTGCTGCCACTGGAACTGCTGGCTGGGTCTAGAGCAGTGGGGGAGCCAAGAGGGAGAGATTGGGAGTGGCACAAGAGGAAACCAGTTGGGAAGGAGTGCAGTGCACCCACCCTACCCCCCTAATATCACCCAACTGCCACCATGACTGCCCGCTCACCGGACAAAAAGCCCCAAGGCTTATACCCAGAACCATGTCCGCTGCCTTACCTGAATGTACTTCACCCATAGTCAAGTGCAGTAAGAGTCTGAGCTTGGGGCCCTGAAAACCCCAAGGGAGAAATAATAAATAAAGCTGCCACCTGTCTGTCAATTTGTCATACTGTGGTGGTTTGTGTGTTGCTGTGAGGCTGGAAAGTATTTCACATACCAGCTGGGTCACCCAGAGTGAACAATTTTCAGCGGAGATTCCAGACTAGAACAGACTACGAAGAAGGGCTTGGCTGCCCACTTTGGAGGAAGTAGTCACTGAAAACGTCTTTGTCTTTGCAGTGGGATCGGTCTTAGTTTTCTAGGGCTGTTATAACAAAGTACCACCAAAATGGGTGAGCTTAAAGAGAGAAATGTATTTTTGCACAGTGCTGGCGAACGATCCGCTGTCTTAAATCAAGCTCCTCTAGCTGCTGCAAGGGTTGCTCCCAGTTCTTTGACTGGTACAGGCTTATTTTGTGTAGTCCTGCTGTGTGTGATTCTGTTTCCAGGCCTTTCACTCTTCTGAAATGCCTTTTAGGAATCCCTAATCAGAACAGACGGGGATTAGAACCCATTCTCCTTTGGCAGGATGACTTCCCTACCTTAACTGATAAGACCTACAAAGAAATACTCTTATTTTAGGCTAGCAAGATCACATTCACTGGTGCAGGAAGTTGGACTTCAACATACATTTGGTGGGTGGGGTGGGGATACAATTCAATCCCCAGTAGAATGAAAACACCCACGCCATTGTGCTCTACTCTGTATTATCATCAAATGGACAAAGACCTGGACTTAGAAAGTCATAAGGGAGGAACACACTCAGCATATCTCAAGCTGAAAGAATTGAATAGGTCAAGCCTCGAGAGGCAAGATTGAAGGATTCCAGTGGGGAACATACTGAAAGATAAAGAAAACAAAACTCCAGACTGACTGCTACCCAGTTGATTCCAACTCATAATGACCCTAAGGGACAGAGTAGAACTGTCCTTGTGGGTTTCCAAGAATGGAACTGTTTAAGGGAATAGAGAGTCTCGTCTTTCTCCCATGAAGTGACTTGTGGATTCAAATTATTGACCTTGTGGTTAGTAGCCCCAATTGAGCAACCAGGGCTCCTGGAAACAATATAGGAAGCACCAAAAAAAGATGGAGATAGACTGAAGCTGTCGGCTTTCAGCCGTTTCAAGAGGTACCATATGGTCAGGAATCATTGGTATTGAAGGAAGAAGTCTGAGCTGCACAGGATTTGACAGAAATACCAATTGAAATATTTCAACCAACGGATGAGGCACTAGAAGTGCATATGTAGGACGTCTGGAAGACTGGCCCACCCACTGAAAGAGAGCCATATCTGTGCCCATGACTCAACAGAATGTGGAAATTATTGAACAATATCATTAATAACATGCAAATAAGATATTGCTGGAAATAATGCAAAACAGTGACAGTAGTACAACAAAAGTGGTCTGGCAGAAATTCCAGTTAGATTCAGAAGAGGATGTGGAACGAAGGAAATCATTTCCAACATCAGGTAGATCTTGCCTGAAAGCAGAGAATATTAAAGAGATGTTTGTTTATGTTTTATTCTCTGCAGACATTTGTCTTCATGGGTCCTAACAAACTATGGATAACCTTGAGAATAATAGGAATTTCAGAACACTGCATTGTGCTAATACGGAACCTGTACATGGATTAAGAGGCAGTCATTTAAAAAGAACAGGGAATACTGCATAGTTTAAAATTAGGAAAAGTGGGTGTCGGGGTTGTAGTCTTCCACCATATTTATTTAATCTGTATCTGAGCACATACTTCCAGAAGGTGGATTACATGAAGAAGAATTCGTCATCAGGATTGGAGGAAGGTTTATTCCCCTGAGGTATGCAGATGACACAACTTTTCTTGCTAAAATCAAAGAGCACTTAAAGCACTTGCTGATGAAGATGAAGGAATGCAACTCTCAGGATTGCAACTCAATGTAAAGAAAACAAAAATCCTCACAACTGGACCAATGGACAACATCATGATAGATAGAGAAAAGATGGAAATTGTCATTGATTTCATTTTCCTTGAACCACAATCAATGTTCATGGAAGTAGCCGCCAGGAATTCAAAGGAAATGATGTTAAGCTGCACAGGAAGGAAACGGATGTCTGGAGACTGATTATGGAAGAAATTGTACAATTATGTTTGACATGATTGAACTATGAAATGATATGACATAATGTATCAATTTCCAAGTTACAGCAAATTAATAAAGAAAAAATAGCATAGATCCAGGAATAAGTTCTGGGCTCACACTAAATCCTAACTCCAACTTAAGAACATTTAGTGCTTACATCATGACCCTGCTCGATACTCAACTTCATGAAAAGTGTGGTGAAGAAAGCAGATGGTGCCCGGCTATCAATCAGAATAGTGTCTGGGGTCTTAGAGGCTTGTTTCCAAACAAGCAGCCATCCAAGCAAGGAGCCAAATAAGTCCACACAGAGGAAGCATACCAGCTTGTGTGATTCAAAGATGACAAGTACAAAATTTGAATATAGCGAAGAGAAAAGTATCGGAGCTAAAATTATGAGCACCCGATTTGGAAAAGGCTATGGAGAGCAGTGGGAGCCCCAAACCCATCTTCGGAGTATCTAGTCAGATTAAGCCACTAACAGATCTGTTCTAGCCAAAGGCAAGAGTCCCGCCAAACAGTCTTATGATCAGGCAGAGATCACTGTCATATTGATTATGCTGGATCATAATCGGTACCAGGCCAACTGTCCTCCCTATAGACCCATCCTGAGTTTGTACTGGGTACAAGTATCTCTTAGATGTCCCGTGACAGAAATTTCTTCCCTGGATTTTTCAACGTTAATTAGGGGTGGGGGTGGGGGGATGTCTTCTGCCTCTTACGCATTTGTATTTTTGCCTGTATACTAATATCATTTTATCCTTACCAACTTAGTGCAATTTATCTTTCACAGTTTTCTGCTGAGTTTACCAGTGGTGAAGCACAGGAGGAATGGATGTATAATGATAATAACTGATACAAGGTGTTATAGGGAATGCAAGGGTAGAAGGTAGGTGAGAGGGAGGGAAAGAGGATTTGGGGAGTAAACAATGACGGCAGGAGTGGAGAATGAGCACTAGAATGGATGGTGATTGAACAACTCAGTTTAAAGGTGATACAAACATGCAGGGTGTGTGTGTGTGTGTGTGTGTGTGTGTGTGTGTGTGTGTGTGTAGACTCTAAGACAGACGTGGTAGTGATTGTACTACTCCCCTGATGTGCCTGAACGATTGAACTGGTTTATTGTATGATATATGAATTATATGCCAATAAAACTGTTGGGGAGAAAAAGGAACTCAAAGAATATATTGCATTAGGCAGATCTGCCGTGCAAGCCCTCTTTAAAGTATTAAAGAACAAGGATGTCACTTTGAGAAGTAACATGTGCCTGATCCAAGCCATTTATTTGAAATCACCTTGGAGACATGTGAAAGTTGGACAATTAATAAGGAAGACTATAGCAGAATTTATGCAAAGATATTGCATACATTTATGCAAAGAGATTGACAAAGAATATTGAAAGTACTCTGGACTCCTAGCAGAAGAAATAAGTTTGTCTTGGAAGAAGTACATCTGAAATGGTTCTTGGAGGGAAGGATGGCAGGATGTCATCACACCTACTTTGGACTTTATTGGGAGACACCAAGCCAAAGCTCACAACCTCACTGCCACCGAATTCCTGCTGACTCACAGCAACCCGATAGGCCACAGTGGGACTGCCCCTCGGGGTTACCGAGACCGGAACCGTTCATGGTAGTAGAATGCCTGTCTTTCTCTCTTGGAGTGGCTGGTGGTTTCAAATGTAAGGCCTTGCCGATAGAAGGCCATTGTGTACCCACTAGGCCAGCCAGGCTCCATCAGGAGAGATCAGTCCCTGGAAAAGGACATCATGCTTGGAAAAGTCAGTGAGTGTCAACGGGATGGGTTCACACCGTGGCTGCCACATGACAGTGTGAAGGTAGTGGCGAACCGGGCAGTGTTTTTCTGGTGTACGTAGGCTCCTGGTGATTCAGAACCAACTCAGTAGCACCTAACACAACAGTGTCATCGTAATTATGATGAAGAGTATGCTATTAATGTATCCTCAGTTTACTTACTGCCATCCAGTTAACGCCGACTCATAGTGACCACTGTGGGTTTCCGCGACTGAAACTAGTCTTTCTCCCTCAGTGTAGCTGGAGGTTTTGAACTAACAACCATGCAGATTGCCTCCCAACACCAGAAGGAAGAATAAATAAAAGCGAATTTTCAGTGTTAACACATAACACCATTTTTATGCTTAGATATTGAAAAGCAGGAGAACATGCTTCAGAGTATGTATATGTTTTGTGTGCCCTCCCTTCCTTTTACCTCTCTCCCCTTTGCCCTCATCTTCTTCCCCTCCCATCCACACTCAAGAAATCCTTGCCCAGGGAAAGCCCTGGTCTCAGGTGGTCATAAGTAGGTCAGGTTGGATCCATCTGCAGGCGTTAGGTGTGTTGAGTGGAATCTGACACACAGGACACCATGTAAACAGTAAGAAATGCTGCCTGCTCCTCTGCCCTCCTCATCATTATTGTTTGTGTCCTGCTGTTAGTACATGCTCATTGCAGGCCGAGCACCAAGCTGCCGGCCTCACACATAAGACCATACTTAAACATGAAAAAGCTTGACTTACCTAAGGTTGGAATTTCCATTCCACACTACTCCATACTGATCTCTTATGCAACACTTATGGTTTGGCAGAGATTTTTTTTTAAGAGAGAAATAAACAACACCCATAGTCTTTTTTATCCATTGCCAACAATTATGAGGGGTCTTCAAAAAATTCATAGAAAAAAGTGAAATGAAAATATAATGGAATTTTTCCCATAAACTTTTTGAGGCCTCGTCATAGGGTTCACAGTAACAAAGACGGTTTTGCTGTTTTTATCAAAAATCATAAAAAATCTATTATAGTAAAAGTCATTCCTTCACATATCAACTCAAGCTTTGTTTCCAATTGAAACTGAAAGACAGAACCAACTTTTTTAGGATCTTGACACCTATAAGCTATATTCAAGATCTTACATAGAATGTTAAAGATGTGTTAAAGGTTCAGAGGAAGACTTTATTTTCATACGCGTATCTTATGTTCTTAAGAAAGAGAATGCAAATCATTTTGTACTTGGAGACAGATGCTCTGAGAAATTTTTAAAAATTAAAGCACTGCATAAAGATGTGACATTTTGAAAAGTTTTTTTTTCCTCTTCCTCTTGTTTCTATGTAGAACTAGTAAAATTACATTTTAAAGTTTATTTAGAATAATGAAAATTTAGATAAAAGTATTGATGTGAATCATAGAGATTTGATTTATATATTTTGATATATTTAAAAAAATGTTTCCCCCACCCACAGTTCCAGCACCTGGGGGTACTTGATTTCTAACTCTTTCAATAATATAAAAACTAAGCTAAATAATTGGGGTGTCTTGAGAAGGTTTTTGAAGAATGGGTGAGAAGTGTGAACCTCAACTCTGAAGAGTCCAATTATAACATTGGAAATGTAACTATAATGTACAATAAAAAGGAGTTCTAGCTCATTAAACTCTGAACAAACTTGAACTGATTTGTATTTTTCCATAGTATTTCCATTATTCGTATGAAACCACTTTTTCCAGTTAAAAGAAATATTAGGACCTTAACTTTTTCATCAGGTTTTACTTTATTTGGAAAGAGACTTTATCTTACAATTAGCCAGGCATTAAGGTGATAGTAGTAATGGTGGGATGTATATTTGTCTTTCAAGTTAATATTTCTGTGGGATTTAGCCGCGCATAATTAGCCATTCTTTTTCTGTTATATTTTTAGGGCTCAAGTGAAGCTGGCTTATATGATACATTTTGGATTTAAAGAAAAATAATAATGAAAACAAAAGTGAAAACTGCCATCTGATTAGCGAGAATTATTTTTGAACAGCAGGGGCCCAGAACACATCCTGTCAAATGAAAAGCTCTGTTCCAATTAAATCTCCAATTAATGTGCACCCTGTTGTCTCTTAGATATAGCCCCTGCCTGGGAAGATAATTATGGACCACAAGAAAAGAAGATTTACCTAAATCCCTCTGTTCGCCTTAAGGCAGAAAAACTGGAAATGGTAAACACTTTAAGTTTCTACTCTTTTCTCATCAAACTGCAGCAAGAAAATATTCTCAGTTGTTGAAAGGATAAAGTTGTGGAGTCATTCATTTCTTAACTAGTTACTTATTTATAATTAAATAAATGGCAGTTTGGGTTTAGATGATTCCGTTCATCCCTGAGCTTACAGTTCAGGTTGGTCTACTAGTACCAAATAATGTTCAACCTGTTGTAGGTAAGTGGACATTCAATTTAATGAGTTTCTTCCTCTCTAGAAATGAGAGCAAATAGGATGTTCTACAATCTAGAATCATGGAAAACATGGTATAAATAATGACCAAGTGTGTTAGGCTTCCCAAATTATAGCAGTTATATAAAAACATTTTTTAAGTGAAACTAAATTTTAATGAACAAAATGTTCAGATGCTCTCAAAATATAAAGAAAATTGAAGCAGCATAATAACTCTAATCCATACTCACTGCTTTTGAGTCAGTTTGAACCCTAACTGACCCTGTAGGACAGAGTCAAATTGCTCCTTAAGGTTACCAAGACAAAGTCTTTGTGGGAGCATACAGCTTCATCAGATTATTTTGTAGAAAAATAAAATGGCAGTTTCAAAGCAAAGGAAATCCACAATCTGAGTCAGCGCAGTTCCTCTGCTCTTACTCATGGTTCGGTGAGTTTTTAGGAGAATTTTCTTTGTTTTCAGAGGATGGAACTATATAATTCACTGAAGTAAGTGTTTTGGATTTTTAAATTAGTTTCTGGCCTCTATTATTTAAGCTACTCCTCCTTTTGGCATAGTTCTCTGTTCACATGATAACATCAGGGTCATATCAGTCTAGAATGGGTTCTTCTTTTTCAGTTGTTCAGTTTCATGATCTACTCAATTCCCACTATCGACTCTGGTAATAGATAAGACTCATGTGGTCAAGTGTGTAAGAAGACATAAATGTATATCTTTCATCTATATTATACACATTTAGAAAATTGGTCTTATAATCAGTTTTCACAAGAAAAAGGTGCTGACTAGTTATGTGGTTATTAACTAATTAGCCTACTCAAAAAAGAAGTTAGAATTTTATAAAGGAAATTGCCTATCAAGAGAATGTCTCTCTCTCTCTCTCTTACACACACACACACACACACACACTGGGATTGTCTTTGTGTAATCCTGTATATTTTAGTGGCCAAAGTAAAGAATTTCATATTCAGTTATACTAGAAGGTAATTTCTTTTTTCATCTAAATAGTTTCATTGGACACAACCCAAATTTCATACAACTCAATAGTTCAATCACGTCAAGAATTGTAAAATCAGGACCATAACTACTTTTGAAACATTTTTCTCTTTTCTTGTACTCCTTGTTATTAGCACCCCATTCTCCCCTTATCTCTCCTGCTGGACCCCCAAGGAACCATTAATCCAGTCACTGTCTATAGATTCACCCATCCTAAATTTCATACAACAAAAACCCCAAAAATACAAAACAAAGAATCAAAAAAAGTTAAAAACAATAACAAAATAAAATAGAGGAAAACCCCAGTTGGAAAGAAAATAGAAGTAGAAAGTGACTCCTAACACTGAAATGGTTCTATCTTAATTTTTTGACTGAACAATGAACTTACTAGTGCATTTTCCAATGAATTCCCTGAGAATGATTTAATATACACATATTTTAAAATAATTTCACTATAGTTATTTGTACTGATCTATTCTTTTTCAGAGTAGTTTTGCAAATACTTGTGTTTCATTTGATCTGAACATTAAACTTTTAAGCAAGCATGCCAAATATAGCAGAAAGGAATATCACGTATTGTTTGGCCCAAAGAAGGGGAATGACTGTACATTTGTACCTGAGAAAGATGCTCTGGGATACAGATGCCATTTCGCTGATATTTACTTTACCTCTGCCATTTCTGTAACATTTGAAGAAACTACAGTGAGCAGTGGTGTATTCAATGCCTGACTATAGTTAATGAAATGTTCTTTATATTCTGTTGGGAAGTGCATTGCTAATACTGTAAAGAAGTGACTTTTTAAAAATTCATCATTCAACTATCAGGAGAAGTGACACTTACTTGTTCAATTAGCATTTTTATAAGTTTTTTTATGTCCTTAGTCATTCAAACAATAATTTGAGTCTTTTTTTAAATAAAAAAGTAAATTATTTATAATTAAAATTTCTGAGCTTACCTGACTAATGAGATAAGCTCTATTCATCAGAGTAAATTTTATTCCCAATAATATTTTCACCTATGGTTGAGTTTGGCTCTATTGAATACAAACTATTGTTAATTGTATCATAGAATTTTATGATTACTAAGAACCACTATCTATAGAGTACCTACTGTGATGAACACTTTATTTGCATTATTATTATAAAATTACTTTTATTTATTAAAATTGAAACTAGCCCTCATACAAAAGGATATCTAGTAGGGGTTTCAAAAATATAAGGGGAAAAGGCCCCCTCATATATGCTATATATGTGCAGTGAAGGCGAAGATAAACAAACACACATGAACTCTCCATTGGGATCAGAATCTTTTACAGTCCCTGTGTTTCTTAATGTTATATACCATTCCCTCTTCACAAAAAGTATTTTGATTTTTGCCAAACTATATCTGTGTGTATACATGTCGATATATACGTGTGTGAATATTATATACAACAAGATTTTAAAACCTTGTGGACAAATTTTATTATCATTTAATTCAATTTTCTATGACCTTTTTGAAATGCTCCTATTTATGCATGCAGATAGCCTCTTTGTAGAAAAACATGGAAAATTATCTATTACACTGAAAATGATGTTTACGTGGTTCTCAAGGTGGGAGGGGGAGCTTTCTACTGGCCTCTCGTATATAGATGCCAAGGATGTTGCCAAACAATGCCCTCCACAATGCACAGGACAGCTCCCCACGGTAGTATTTCCTTGCTATTTTATTTTTTGCCAACATATATATTGTCATGTGCCCTGTTCTGAAATCTTGTAAAGCTTGTTATATTAAAAATTCAAGGTACATACAATGTTTCTTAATAACAAATGGGTACTACTTTGTAACATGCCTCCAAAGACTATTAAAGTGTTAACTATGTTAAAGATGTTTTACAACCTGTGTCCAAATACCAGGGAGCCAGCCCCTAACAAATTATTACAGGTCCGGTAGGTGCAATTGTACAGCGATAATAAGTAAATATTATAGTAAAGTCGTAGAGAATAAAAGAGATAGAAGAGAGACTGAAACAAAGGAGTCAGACACATTTCATGGTAGCATGCTCACCTGAGCTCCTCTTTGTGGTACACGTGGAGATGGGACATGCAAGAACCGGGGAGCGAGCAGGAGAGAGCAATTTATTACTAACCAAGGCTTACATATCTTTTAGGGACGTGCAAGCCCCCTAATTACAGGTAAAGACATACATCACAGGAGCGGGTTAAACTACAGTTATTACAGCAATGGGAGGGGGACAATCTAGAGGTCTATGTGCAATAGAAAAGGGAGGGATTGGGGGCACACATGTGACAAGATGGGTGGATTCTAGATTCAGGATGGCAGCCTAACTGTGGATGTGCTTTGACCTGCTGTCTGGTTCTCCATGGAAACAATGATCAGTAGGGTATGAGCCCCACCTACAGTAGGCCAGACAGCAGTCTGATGGCTGACTGTCTTCAGGGAAAATATCTAAGCATCTGACCTCCCACTTTGGCATTAACCAAAGTGCTGGCCTTGGGGGAGAAAAAACTGGGGTAATTGTGGAACCAAAAAGTTAATACTTTACTGGCAATCCATTTATAAATAGCTGACCGACTTACTTGGGCATCTAATAGTTTATCCTGATCACTGTTCCTGCTATTGACTCCTTTCATTGAGCTGTAAAATAAAGTTATCGTGAAAAGTGTTGTTCTTTGTGGAGATCTGAAAACTTGCTCCGCTTGTGTCCTTTTTGCTGGTAGGCCCTGCATTATCTTGGCATTGAGCCCACAGAGCAGCAGCAGCAAGCCCTGAGACAACAGGTGCAAGCAGACTCAAGGGGAACAGTGTCGTTTGGAGGTAACATTGGATTCAGTGCAGTGAGTCACCCCTGAAACTTGGTCAGAGTTCCTGTGCCACCTTTGTATTCGGTTTGCCTGTGATTTAAGCACGTTAGGAGAAAAAGAAGAGCACATCTTTTCAAGTTCCTTCACCACTACTCTGAACACTCAGAATTATTGGCCTGGCTGAATCAACAGAAAGGACTTTTAGAATATTCACCTCCAAAATGTAGTTCTCTCATAATATGTAGATGTATATGTATATTAAACATTGCTTTAGCATTACATTGCTTTATTATTAACAAAAGAAACAGAACAAAAGATGTTGGTGGTGGTGTTAGTTCCAACTCTTAGCAGCCTTATATATAACGGAACAGCATCTTCCAGGGTTCTGCACCACCCTCACAGTCATTGCTTTGGTCAAGCCCATAGTTGCAGCCACTGCGTCATTCTCACCACTGTAAGATTGCTTCTAGTGCTTTATGCAGGTAATAGGATATAACATCATATATTTATGATACGATTCATACTAAAGTTCACGCAGTATACTAAGAGTTGACTCGCTATAGCATTAAGCTATAGTCCACTGTTGATAATTTTGATGGCTTCTTAATAACTGATGTTATAAATAATTCTATATTTTATGTCATTGTGAACATAGCTTTCTTTTTTTTCATAGGATAAATTACCACAAGTGGTTTGGACTTTAGATATATAGTGATATGTCATTTTACCCGTGTATTTTTTCTGCCACTAGTAATATTTGAACATAATCATTTCATTGTATTCTTGACAGGGTTAAGTGTTTATTATTTTCTTATTTAGTAGATGCAATTAGACTTTTTAAAGCATCTAGATTTCTAGCAAAAAGGAAATTGACTTTGGGTTTTGAAATGATGAAAAAAAGATATTATTATTCCCATAACTTCTTAAAGATCACCCCAAGATTATATAAATAAGAAACAGAAATACATGTATCATCATCAAAGCCACGTACCATGAGGATAGGAAATGCATGAGAAAAGTAGATGACCCTGTGAATGGACAGTTACCACTCAGCTCTCTGAAAAGGCAGGAAGACCACCGTGGAAATGCGCTGCTCTGTCCCTGAGAATACCGAGAAGCTTTCAGAATTAAAAGCATCCAGTACGTTAGATGGCTGGGTTTAAGCAGGGCATTTGAAACAGTCGGATTGTTTGATATATGTATAAAAAGAATCATACAGGCCTCTCCCTGCCCCCTCAAAAGCAATCCAGCAGTTACCACTCCCTTGCACCTCCTGGGAAAAAGAAGTGTATTCTCTTGAGAAATGAAACTTGAGAGTTCTGGACCTATCGTTGCCAACAGCCAGGTAGTTTGGAGGAATGTATCGTTAGTCATTATTCACAACACACGCCCAGATTGCTCACTGACATTTTCCGCTATGTTTATAACCTGGGTGCATGAGAGGGTAGGGTTTTCTCTGAAGGAACCAAACAGAAATGTCCACTGGCCGCTGATTGTCCTCTAGTGCCAGTGCCAGGTGAAAGGCCAGTTAGGGTCCGAAAGCTTCCGGCCAACTTTTTCAGTGCCTGACTCTTCGATATGGACCGAGAGCCAAGGGCCACCAGGCTGTCGAGTTGATTCTGTCAAGTCCAAATCCAACATGAGCTGTAGCTTACAAAGCTATTGGACAAGCAGAATGAAGAGAACGAGAGAGTGAAGAAGCAAACATGTACTTCAGATTAACTGTAACTTTAAAGGATAAAGAAAAACTAATGCATCTGAGAGGAATAAGATGCTACAAACTTCAAAACGTTTGTGGAAAGATGGAACGAAAAGATAATGGCGTTTTTCTATGACCGTTTTAAGCCTTTCCCCAGAAGCAATCAGAGAACTGAAAATGGATCCCAGGGAATTAAAAGTAAAAACTACTGGACAGTGTACGACGAATGGGTCACACTCTGCTCCAGAGCTGACCGTTTCTTAGGCCTGCAGCAGGCGGGGCTACGTAAAGGTTAAGGGGCATGCAATTGGAATCCATGCTCTGCTTGCCTGTTGAGTCACCCTGGGCAGCTCTAACCAAAACGACGGAGGTTCCTGTCCAGCCAGAGGTGGTTAAGAAAGGTTGGCGGTCTACTTTCAAAGAATCACAGCCATTGAAAACGCTCTGGCACTCCTGGGTTGGGATAGACTCAACAATTGGTTTGGTTTGGCTTACTTGGTGTATTTATTTTAACAATCCAAGCCCACTGCCTTCAAGTCAATTTGAACTCTCGGCAACCCTCTCAGACAGAACAGACCTGCCCCCATCGCTTTCCAAGGCTTTCTAACTTTGCAGAAGTAGGCTGCCCCATCTTCCTCCCACAGAACGGCTGTGTGGTTTTGAACCACCAACCTCCAGTTCGCTCCTGAGCACTTTCACCACTGCACCAAGATTTTAAATAAGCATTCACCACCACGAGTTGCTGTCACACCAATATTGCCACATAGCCATCTCATGTGCCTGAGGCAGAGCTGCGCCCCATCAGGTTTTCAAAAGCTGACTTTTAAAGTAGACGACCAGGCCTGTCTTCAGCAGCTCCTCAGGGCAGTCTGGGCTTAGCAGTCAAGTATGTTAACCTTTTGAAAATGCATAAATATTAGCTCCTGTTATTTTTACTTGTAAGCTTCCGATACTTCGAGCCATAGTTTTCTAAGTCATAGTTATCAGATCGTTATATACTTCAGAAGAAAAGTTACACTAAATAAAAGTTAGAGAATTAGTATGTCTATGACATGTTTGCTCTACTATTATCTCAACAAGTCCTTAAATTTTAGTAAAGTTAACTGAATTAAGTTAAAATGAGTTTATCTCTTCTTATTTGAATTGACATTAATCTATCTACTCCTCAGTCAGTCCCATTTGGAGATAATTTATGTAGTTAAATTTGACTTTTGTTTGACTAAGTATTAGTTTTAACATAGTTTCAACTGCGTTTAAATGCACTTCTCTTATTGAAATATCTTCCATCATAGATTTTGTCCAGGTGGCCAGGAATGTGTTTCGCTTGCAGTTGGAGGATGTCAATATTGATGCACATGAAATTTCCAACGTACTAGGTTCACAGGTAAGAGTAGGCTCCTGAGAATTCCTTTAATCGCCCTTAACTCAAAGTTTCAATGTGTTATTTATGCAGGCTTTTCTTCATATCTTAGTTTGGTCGTAAAAATTTACTAATGCTTCTGCCTGTTGACAAGCAGGAGACAACAAAGCAAGTGCTAACAATCAGTGCAATGACTTGTTCTAGTGACTGCTCATCAGTCTCCTTCCTGGCTAGGCATATGGTTCATTGAAAGCACCCACAGACCAGGCTGTTTGATAACTCTCAGGACAGAGTACCCACTTACCTCAAATGCGAGGATCTGCTGGGTTAGAGCCAATTTGGTAGCATTTACAGAATGGTAGGCACCCCTTTTCCTTCTGCCTCAGAGCTTTTATGCCAATTCAATCTTGTGTGTCTGTCTACCTAATGTGGACAGTGCTGGGATTGTTTTACTCCAGCAAATAGCTTTCAAAGCTGCCATACTTATTTTTCATGAGGTGGCTTGGGTGGCTGGGTGGCTTACAACATGCCCAAGAATCGGGGAATTCAGAGCACTTTGTCTGAGCATGCACAGTTTCAGCAGCATCTTCAATGAGATCGTTGTGCTAAGTAATTTACTTCCTTCTCACCAAACGATTTTAGGGCAGATAAGAATATGCTCATTGTGTGATGCTTTGATAGCAAAAGCAAAATGCTGATGGCAATTTTGCAATGTCTTCTACACACCAATAATTTCCTGTTTGTGGTTTGAGATCAAAATAGTCATCACTTTTAATGTATAAGATTGTCTTTGCTGTAGTCTGCTTTGTGAACACACAGATATTCTCAGAAAGTACCGGATTCTTTTTGATTGTTTGTTTTATTAAACTAAACTTCACAATAAGAAAATACTTTACCTTACTGTATTCACCGATAGAACTCAAACATCTCTCAGAGCATTAATTTTACTTTTTTCACAAGCCATGCATTCATGTTTCTCAAAAGTCACCATCATCGAATCAATGCTGACTCATGGCAGTCCCTTGTGCATTTCCTACACTGTAGCTGTTTATGAGAGTAGAAATCCCAGGTTTTTTTCCTTCAGAGCTGCTGGTGGTTTTGAACTGCCAACCATGTGGATTGCAACCTAAAGCTTAACCACTACACCACCAGGACTGCATACATTCATTTGTGGTATTCAATTTTAGATATGAATGCATAGTTTAGTTTTTTAAAAAGCATTTCACAATCCATGTCCCACAACTTGAAAAACACCATATTGAATGTATATAGAATTATTTTAGGGAAGACTGGGGGACCAGTCCCCGCCCCAAAATGGATTTAAAATGTTTTAATATTTTATAGTATGCCCACTGACATCAAGTTGCTTCTGACTCATGATGACTCCCTATAGGGTTTACAAGGCTATAAATCTTTAGGGGAACAGAGTATATCCTCTTTCTCCCTCAAAGTGGCTGGTGGGTTTGAACTGCTGACATTGTGGTTAGCAGAGCAACATTTACCTGACGGTGCCACCAGGGTTCCTTTTGTAATATAATGCCCCCCGCCCCTTTTTCTTTTAGTTGAAAAGCTCACTAGTGTGCCATCTAAAACCCTATCATTTGATCTGTATCAATTAAAGATGCTGATAGTCTGCATGGGGAAATTCCACTGTGGTTACTCCACAACCATCTCAGGGCCATCCACCACAAGTCAGGTCTTATCATCATTCTGTTAGTGCTGCCTGTCTCTCCACTCGTGTGCCCCCTTTTTGGCGGCTAAAGGTGGGTGTGTTAGGCAGGGTTCTCTAGAGAAACAAAACCATGACACTTATGATTTTATATATATATGTGTAAAATGTATATATATCCGAGGGAGTACCTCCCAAAAGACAGAATTTTTTTTCAAAGCTACATATAGATATATTTTTACAAAACAACCTATCGCCTTCAAAGTACTCTCCATTACAGTTAATCTCCATTAACACAGATTTGTCAAATCTGCAATTCCATTCTTGGAAACATTTTTCATACTCATCTGTTTGGATGGCTGAAAGCACCTCCCTCATTTTTTTCTTTACCTCTTCCACATGAAAGTGCTGCCCTTTCCTGTCCCTCTGCATTCCCAGAAACAAAAAGAAGTTGCACAGAGGGAGGTCAGGTGAGTAAGGTGTGTAGGGCAAGAGAGGCATGCTGCTTTTTGCCAAAAACTGGTGCACTGAGATGGCTGTGTGAGCAGGTTCATTGTTCTGGTGGCAAAACCAGTCCCCTGTCTGCCACAAATCATGCGTTTTTTTGTCTCACACTGTTATGCAATCTTGTCAAAACCACTAAATAGAAAGCTTGATTAACAGTCTGAGTTGATGGAACAAATGCCAAACGAGTCACCAGTTTTGTCTGTTCAGGAAGTTGATGGATGTCCAGACAAGGTTTGTCATCAATTCACATTTCATTTTTTTTGAAAAGAGAAAAACATACACTTGAGTTTTTCCCATAGCGCTGTCCTTATACACTGCATTCAGCATCACAACAGTTTTTGCAGCATTTTTCCCGAGCAGAAAACAAAATTTCACAGCCACATGCTGTTTTCTTAAATCGACCATCACAAAAAACGAGGTTCAAGCAAAACTGGTTTCACAAAAAAATTCAATGTGACCAGTGAACCTTCCGAGGCAATTGCCACTGGGTGCAGTACCTCAGAGTGAGTTGCTCCCATTGCTTTTCCTAATGGGAAAAATGTCCAGCCGAGCTTTTTTATTGATTTATTTTCGGTTTTTCTGGGTATCCCCTCATAGAAAAGGATAGGTTTATACAGCGAGAAGGAATATAATGACCAATTAGTCCACACAGCAGTACAGATGGCTCATTTCAACTCACTTTCATGGAACAGTTAACATACTGAAGGTTCTTCAACTCTGCTGCCAGTCCAAGGTCAAGGAAATAGACAGTAGCATCTGCCCACCTGCAAGACAGAAAGAGTTGGCCTGCGGGCAGTAGACAGCAAGGTGGGACAGCCACAATCAGTAGCTATGGGGAGAAGGACAGGGCATCCCCCACAAATCATCACAGGTCCGGTAGGTGTAATTGTACAGCGATAATAAATAAAGATTATAGTAAAGACAGAGAGCATGAGAGGTAGAAGATAGAGTCAAGTAATAGAGTCAGACACAATTCATGGTAGCATGCTCACCTTAGCCCTGCTTGGTGGTCACGTGGGGGGATCCCGGCAGGGAGAGCAGGAGGGCCCTCAGGACCGAGAACCGGGGAGAGCCTGAGCCCCGGGAACCGGGGAGAGCTTCCAGGCCCGAGGACCAGGGAGAGTTTTTTCTTTATTGCTAACCAAGTGTTATCTCTTTAGGGGTACATGATTACAGGTAACCACATGTCACAGGAAGGGACAATACAATCGGCATACACATTGTAGGAAGGGGATCTATGATAGGCATAAGTGTAACAGGAAGGGATGAGTTAGGGGTGGGCCCATAGGAATGGGAAGGTCTAGGGGTATACATGTGACAAGATGGGCGGACCCTAGATTCATGATGGCAGCCTAACCTTGGTCATCCTTGGGCAGGTTTGACCTCTCTGGGGTCTCCTACAAGGAAACAGACAACTACTATCCTTATCAGAAGGGAGTGGGCCCTACTTGTTGTGGGATAAACAGTGGTGTCTGCTTGGTCTAGATGGCTGATAGTTCTTAGGGAGAATGACCCCCAATCCACTCCTGATGACCTCCAAGTATATAGTCATTCTCAAGCAGCTAAGTCTGGCATATATTTGGGGGAGACAACTTGAGAGAAATCCTTCTGTTTCCCATAAGTAGCTTGGGAGTGTAGAGAAGCAGGCCCCATGGGGTCTTGAGCTCTAGCAATGTACATACCTCAACATGACCCGCCAGCAGTAACATGATCTACCAGCAGCATGGTGAAGCAGGTCTTGAAGGAACGACAGGTAGTCTTATGTGTAACCACGCCTCAGAAAGTTCCCTCATGCAAACTTCCAGCTCTACCGTGGAACTGCCATCCTAACTTGTGGAAACTGAGCCATTTTGGGAAGGGCCTGTTTTTGAACTTCATAATACATGGAATTGTACAGGTTGTACTCTTTGGTGTCTAGACTCTTTCGTTCATCACGTTGTGTGCTTCCAAAGCTGTCTTGAGATGCTTTCTTTTAAGAAGGGCCACTGTCTGGTGTGAGTGGCAAAACAGGGAGGGTAAAGGGAGAATGGGTAGGAAAGAGGGAACCGATTACATGGAACTGTGTGTGACCTCCTCCCTGGGG